AGCTGAGGTCTTACAGCCAAACCTATGCACTTGCGTGGTTTTCACCTCTGGAGGGCTAAGATGGAAACAGACTTCTTTGGGGGGGAGTGGGCGAGGGAGTGGGGGAGAATGAATTTTCCAATTTGTGAACGCACGCAAAGACACTGATTTTTTTACCTCTCAAGCTGCTGAATAAGCAAGTAGTTGCTAATCAGTAAAAACGTCCCCACTAAAAGCAGCGACAGTGCAGTTTCGCCATACTTAATTGCAAAGGGCTGCAGTTGGAAAGGCTGAATGCCAATTGCAGCCTAATTAAAGTATTATAGTAAGAGGTCACTGTTAGACCGTTTTTCGTAGGAATTTGCCGATCGAAAGCTCAGAGAATCGTGAGAGGTTAGACAGTAACTGCTAGCAGCTCATAGTTTCCCACAGTTAAGCCCACGGACGTTTACAGAGAAAAGGTACTTTGGAACATCACCTCATGAAGGATGGCTAGGGTGCGTTCGACAGCATGTACTTTAATTCTGCTGTGGCGAAGTGTAAAAAAGTACGAAACACCTATGTCGGAATTTCGTAATTTCAATTACTCTGCTTACGGGTCATTTCTACCCTGTGAGTTCTATTTGTACGGAATGTGCTGACAAATGAGAAAATGGATGGCCTTAATTGGCGTTGACCTTGCGCAAGACTCCTAGGACTTGGAATTAGTGCTAGGTTATGTAAGTAAGTAAGGGTAAGTGTTAAAAGCAATGTTAAATCCGTTTGGATTAGTGTTAGATCTACAGATAAGAGTAGGCCATAGGAGTGGGGAACCACAGTAATTTAGTACTAGGTTACTTGCCCTAGGATGGACCTCCGACTCTATTCTGAGAGAACGTAACTCGTGAACGTCAAGTAACTGCCCGTATAGGTGCTTACAAGGCTCAACCATTAACTTACCCACTAAAGGTAATACATGAATAACAAAAGAAAACATCGCTAAATCCCCCTGAAAGTAATGGCAAGTTGTGTTTCTGACATGAGTTTGCTTTACACCAAATGCTTCGTCAGATTTGGAAGACTATTGGGATATTCATTAAGTTTTCTACTTCTTTTAGATGTTACATCTTCTTAGACGGATTAGGATAAACCAAACATTCAGAATTTAAAAATAATCGACATTAAAGTTAAATTGCATACCTGACCAGCCAGGAACTCATACAGAAGGACGCCAAATGCCCACCAGTCCACAGCTTTTCCGTAGGGCTTGTAATTTACAATCTAAAAAGAGCAAAACATGCACAAGTAGGTACATCTGACGACTTAACGTGGACCACAAAACACAGGCGACAACCCCCTGAGGTAGTAGCAGCCCACCGACCCCGGACAAAGATTCTTTGCCGAGTAATCCAACCGAGGAATAACCTGCCTCTGCATAGAAACCTCGTCAGGCGTCACCCAAATAGGCTGCAGTGATGTGGACTGCAACTATGTCGACGAACCTTGAAGAAACTTTTGGACGCGCTTTCATGAGCACAAACTGGCAACTTGGAAGCTAGACTCAAACTCACATCATGCAAATCCTATTGGAAAAATAAGCCACCCTTTTTACATTCACGCAGCGACCATGTTAGGCCAAGTCACCTCAAAAGCATAATGACCCACAAACTTGAGGTCTGATATCTGGAAAACAAATCTAGCAACAAGCACATCCGACTTTAAGTGACTTATAAAGTCCAGGAGAAGCTGGGGACACCGAACTTAATAAATCCGGGCAGACACGACAACATGCCTAAACTATTCGAAGAGGCAGCAGAGTTACAAGCATCCACCATCCATCGAGGTGACGAGGCGTAACGCAAGTGGCCGTCAAGCCCACAAGCATTCACAAAAATGCTAAGACAGAAAAAAAACTTATGAGTAATAAGCCGGCTAAATCAGCCGTGAAAATAAGGTGCTCACAAAAGTCTCCGAAACCTCAGCAGTAAGATAAATCTATTCTCGGTGAATGTCTCAAATTAGCACCTCAGAATTCTCACCTTTGCAACCACCACCTTCCCGCACGCCCCCACCCTCTATGCTAGAAAGACGTCGTTTACGGGAGTTCATTTTCTCCGATTATCACCCCCCGGAGCTCTCACATCTGCGACCTTAAATAGGGCAGGACACAGCTGTTGCACCAAACACACCTGTGAAGACTAACCGCACCTTAACATATCTCTGTGGTATATTGAGCACAGCCAATTGAAATCTCCGACAAGTAAAACTTTCCCTCAGAACATTAGAGGGACTGGATTATGAGGAAATCTACAGATGAAGACCGGCACATGGGAATGACCGTCATTTGTTTGTTAACGGTCATCATTCAGCCGTGATTAAGTACCCGGCGTATGCGCGCATTAAACGGTTGAATCCCGCTTTAGAGGGATATTTAAGATATCAAGAAAAAAGGCCTATCAGTTGAAACATCGGGTGTCCTCCTATCTATCCTGATCACTAAACGCGAATCACTGTTGCAGTTTTGCTTTCGTTTTGACGAAAGCCATAGGCTAGGTGATTATAAATGAGGTCGTAAATGTAAGGCAAGGCAATAGGACATGGGGATGCCGCAATCACCAGAACTAGACAACGAATCAAGTTCAGAGACTATATTATAAGTGCTGCAGGCGAAGATGCAAAGAGGATAGTCTAATATGATGCAGTGAGATGGGATCGTGATGTTAAGGGTTCGGAAGGCTCCTTGTCGTAAGAAAAAATCATAAAGCATTATAAGGGTGAACAAAGAAAAGCTTATCGGGGACAACGGAGTCGAGACGAGGGGGGACCATGAAAGTCACGAAAACATCACAGAGACGGGACCGGGCAGATTGCAGAGTCCATCGACAGGTAAAGAGCCAAGTTTTTCTGACAGTTATCAGCCTGCCCAGCCAAAAAGTCACAGATTGAAGCACTACAGATTTATTATGATGAGGAATGTGTTAATTTGCTATGGGGATGGATTCATTAGTTTCGGCTTCGACCCTTTACTACTTCATCCATTAACCAATCGGACGTATGAGTTTGTAAATTCACCGATGATGGGCTTAGGTAATGTTCCGTAGAAAAAGGCACTCGAATAAAGTCAGCAACTCTGGCTGAGGCTACTCATTCAAACGTAGGGCCATATTGTGCTAACTGGGCCAGTCCCCTTACTGGGTTTTAATGTTAATCAAGATTTGGTTGAAAATGTACCTCTGGGGCCAGATAGTCGGGAGTGCCGCAGAAAGTTGATGTTAGTTCATCCCCGACTATTCCGTCTTTACACATTCCGAAATCTGCGATTTTCACGTGACCTTCACAATCCAAAAGGATGTTGTCGAGCTTGAGATCCCTGTTAAAAAGAGAATAAAAACTGTTTACACACGGCAAAGCACTTGACAGGACATCTATCACAACAACGATAGAATTTTCCCGTCTGCACTATCAGTATACAGATCTGTCAAAAACGCATTCGGTTATTTGGTTAAACATTGCGCGAGTGTCACGTTTATCCAATTCTATCACGCAGGACTACTACCGTTGCGCTCAACAAAGCAGCCAGATTTATAGGTAGTAGCGATCACAAGTGGGCATAAGATTGTCTTCTCAGTGGGAAGGGCTAACTGGAGGTCTGTATGCGTTAGGCTTCGAGGATCAAGTACCGTCGATCAAGCTAACGGTGAATAGTTGATAATCTAAATGCAAAATCTGCACGAACTGAGGATACTTTTGCTTGCGCTTGATCAATATGGCACAGACATAAAGTCAATTGAATGGCCTTGTGTAGTAAAGTTCCCCTCTGAATGGAAGACCTTGAAATTAAAGTAAACACCACAGTACTGTGAAAGTGCGCGGATTCATTTTCCTTTAGCTGCAGAAAGCACTAGCTAGTCAGAAGATTTCACCTTACCAAGGAGCTTCGATGAAGTATAAAGTGGTATTAAGTAAGCTAGCTTTTCTTGCTTGCAAATAACTCAAATAACGAGACGTGACAACATGAAGGTAGCAGTTTGACGGCGGCCCCCTTTTCGGGACTTTGAGGATTTTCTAAGCGGGAAATGGGCAAGGAGGTGAGGCTAGAGGAAACGACGGCTTGTGTGTATATTGCTAGTGGCAGAGCCTTCTATTCTGCTAGCCGCATATTGATGGCACGCAAGAATTTAATGAAGGAGGGTTAGGCAACTTCGTCACTTAGTGTTACGAAGTCAAGTGGCGCCTATGGAATATTTGCACTTAGACCTTAAGACGGGATGGAAATCTGAAGTTTAAGCCAAGAGCACTTCGTCATCGAATGTTTTTATCCCAAAAACTCTATCCTCTGAGCAACGTGCAAACGTTTTTTCGACTACCATCAGGCATACTTGAGGTGATCTGGAAATAACGCCCACGGATCTCTTCGGGTTAGGGGAGAAAAAATTGGCACATCTGGTTGGCATCAGGGCTGCCTCTTCTAAAGCTATCCGAGTAATGCAATACCTACGAGGGGTCAACAATCGATAAAAGTACCAACAAACGTGGAGGAAACTGGAATGCTCGTTTCAGCCCCAGTCATCATCATCCTCATCAGTCAGCCAGATCGTAGTCTCAAGCCTGAATGATTTGCAGCTCAGGCTCTGCGGCATTTGATACAGGCATTAGAGTTAGGTATTCACGTTCTTTCGGGTAATCGGAGTCCCACGGGAGCGATATCCACAGGATGGGATGCGAGTGCTTCGACAATTCA